GCAAGTGGGAAAGCTGGGTTTGGCTTATGGCACTGCCCGGTCACAGCTGGGGCTGGAGCCGGACCCAGCTGCCCCCAGCGCACCGCAGTGAGAAGGCCACCTCCCAAACCCGTTTGTTCATTCATCCGCTCTCGGGTCACCGCGGCTGGGGGTCCAAAAAGAAATTAGAGCCACTTTTGTGACAGCAGCATCAGCCCAGACAGGGACTGCCCTGTGTCCAACAACACCCGGAAACAACGTTCACCCCACTCGCTAGCAATGCCTGTGAGGCCTTCACTACTCCCGCCCACAGAACCCAGTGAGAGCGGGAGGGGACCCTGAACCCTGGGACCCCTCCGAAGCCAGGCCCGCTGTCCAGGAAGATGCAGTGCTGAAAACCCGAAGTCTGGCCTCCAGCCCTGGATGCAGGAGTCAGACTGGAGGCTGGCCTCCGGCCTCCTTGCCAGTGCGCTGGCAAGCAGAGCCCTTGCCTGTCACAACACTGGCTTCTGTGCACAGCCGCCTTGCTGGGTGAGTTTCTGCCACTGTGTTACTCACACAGTGAGGAGAGGAGTCTCCCCGTCTTTGACTTTTGGAGTGTGCTTAGGATTAATATGCCTTCCTTACATGCTCGAGAGAATTCACCAGTGAGTCCAACTGCGTCTGGAGTTTTCTTTTTTGGAATCTGTTTACTTGCAAATTTGATATAATAAATAAATATAGGGTTACTCAGATTTTTAAATTTCTTCTTCGGTCAAGTTTGGTCATTTGGGCAAGGCATTTCTTCATCTCAACTTAAGCTGGTCAAATAGTCTCCTTTTAATCCTTACTGTGAGTAAGACCGAGACACCAGCTTCCAGGGTCGGTGTGGGTGGTGTGCTCACCTGCGTCTCATCACGAAGATCGGTGCAGCCACAGGTTACCTGTCACTTCCCTTCTTTCAAGGCTCTCCTCCACTTCCCGTTGCCTACTGTCTGAAAGTAGTAAAGTCATACACTGTGTCTAGTTTTCTGGTTGTTTGTTTTATTTTTTTAAGACTTAATTTGTTTATTTTTAGAGAGGAGAAGGGAGGGAGGAAGAGGGAGAGAAACATCAGTGTGCGGTTGCCCCTCGCGTGCCCCTGCACTGGGTACCTAGTCCACACCCCAGGCATGTGCCCTGGACTGAGAATCAAACCTGCGACCCTTTGAGTCACAGGCCAGCATTCAACCCCTGAGCCACCACCAGCCAGGACTCTGGTTGTTTAGAGTGGAAGAACAAGTTCTATAGTAATTACGTCTTCGTGGACAGAAGCTGCAAGTAACAGAAAACCCTAATTCAATACTCTTAACTATAAAGAAGTTAAGTTGGGCATTCAAGCAAAATAATGAAAAGACATCATCTCCTAGAACTCGTGGAATGAGGAGGAAGAGTGGCCTCCTCGAGTGTGCCCTGCCCTCGCAGGTGGCCTGGGGTTCAGACCGTGCTCACTTGCGCTCGCGATGCCTGCAGGGCCCGGAAGTCACAGACAGACCCAGGATGATGTGCGAAGAAGTGGACGTGTTCCTTCACGGGATGCTTTTCCTCAACAGTGAAACACTCTAGTCATATTTAGTTTGGATCAACAGTGTAGACATCAGCATGTTTTTTATCATTGTGGCTTTTTTCTTTCCCAGTTTTTGGATGTTGAACTATTATTTAAATAAAACCTAAATAATGGCTTTTGCATTCAAAGAACTTCAACATTCAAATAAAATTAATTTTTTGTTTCCAAATAAACCTTAAAGGCTATTCGTCACTGAGAGAACCAGTCCCACATTCCTCCCTTTCCCCAGGTCACTCCATTCTCCAAGTCTCTTTTCTCTGTCTCCAATATTTTACTGCCCGAGTTCCGAGCTTCTCCCTAATTTCAACCTACAATTTTTCTTTTTTTCCCTTTCCTACCTCCCCTATTTTCCTTTTTACATAAATTCTTCATCCTGTCTGTAGACCCTCCCCTGCAGCTGGTGAAGCTGTCGTGTGTAACGGCCCAGCAAAGTGCCTCTGTGTAAGATGTGAATAGTCACATGTAAATTTTTTTCTCCTTTTACACTGATTTTTACATACAACTTTTAGTCTCCTAGGAAAGAGATCTGGAAGTAATCTTTGGCCTTCCCCTTCCTTCACTGTAGTATATTGTAACCATTAAAAATAATTAAAGTCTTTGAAATTTAGATGGATTTAGGTTTCAGCAACAATTGTTCCACTTATAACCACTTGTACTAGTTAACCAGTTTTTAAAACTTAAATTTGAAACTTTTTCCTTTTTATCAGAGTAACACTTACAGATTTTCAAACTCAAATAGAATTTCTAGATGTATAAGGAAAAATAAGTTTCCCACACACCTTCCTACTTCCAATTCCTTCCTTTACGTCTAACTCTCGTTTCTGATGTAGTGTCTTTCTTTTCCAGTTGTGTGTATCATCTGTGGACTTCCTAACTGAGCAGGTGCGGATTTAACTCTCTGCCTCCCCCACCCCATTTTCCCAGACCCTGTGGGGGCCAAAGGAAAATAACTTTTCTCCCACCTAAGTTCTAGTTGGGCTAATCGTCTAATCAACATGAAATAGGTTAACAGAAAAGTGTCCAAAATTTATGGATGACATGTGGGGGTACACTAAGAATACACTTCTTAGGATGGATACCCCCTTAGGATGAGACCGAAGGATCCATTGGGTAGTTTGGACAGAGGAGGCAGGGATCTGAAATTTCAGAGGGAAAGCAGGTGATTTGTGGGTAGAGGACAAAGAGCAAACATGTCGTAAACAGATCCTTTTGGGGCCGCCAGAAACAATGGGGAGCAGAGGACAGTTAGACCAGCACACTTGGCTAGGTTCCTCCTTGTTGGCCACATGTGTGTGTTTTTAAGAATTTATTTATTTTTAGAGAGGGGGGAAAGGAAGGAGAGAGGGAAACATCAGTGTGTGGTTGCCTCTCATGCACCCCCCCCCCACTGGGGACACAGACCGCAACCCACGCATGTGCCCTGACTGGGAATCGAACTGGTGACCCTTTGGCTTACAGGCCAGCACTCACTTCGCTGAACCATGCCAACTAGGGCTTACCACTAAAATTTTGTAATGATGTACCTCGGTGTGTCTCTTTTCAGATTTGTTGTGCCCTTTCAATATGAGAGCATGTCTTTAGATTTGGGAAGTTTTCTTGAATTATTTCTTGAGTAATTTCTTCCTCTTCATTTTCTCTGTTCTCTTTCCTGTAATTCTTATTTTCAGATGTTGAACTTCTTAATCTTCTAATTTTCTTAAGTTTTCTCTTTTTCCATGTCTTTTTCTTGTTTTATTATCTGAGAGATATCAAATTTATTGTCTTTTATCAATTTTTACATTTCTTAATTTCTGGATTTTCAAGAGCTCTTCCTTATTTTCTGATTGCTCTTTTATATGCCTTTTTGTTGTGGATGTAACTTTATCTTCAGAAACTGTAAATAATTGTTTTTATAACACGTTTTTCTTCTCCTAGTTCCTGGGTTGCTGTTTTGTTCATCTTTTCCTCTCTTCCTTGAACATGTTGATCCTTGGTCATCTGTGCATATTTAGGAGGGAGGCAGTAAGTTTTCTGGAAGCTCTGCGGGGTAGATGAGGACTGCCCAGTGGTAGGACTCATGTAAGCAATGGGGGGGGGGGAGCTTTGGGCAGCCAGCCTTTGCTGCATGCGAGTGTGAGCCCCCTGCTCCTGAAGTCTGGTGTTCCTGGTTCCCACCTCACACCACTGAATCCCCACTTCCATCCCCATCCTAGGTTTGCTGCCTGCCTAGAGGCCTTCTCCCCCGATCCCATCTCAGGTCTCCTCACCCTTCCGTCCAGGCTCAGCTCACACCATACTTCCCTGCCATTGCACATGGTAAACGTTACCCCAGGCTTCACTTGTTTGTTTTCCAAACACAATGTAAGTTTGCTTCCCCAACCACGACGTGCACTCCTTAGCACTAGAGACCATCTCACACACTTCTCGGTGTAACCCTAGGCACCCAACCAGGAACAGGTGCTTTCACCTAGAAAAAAAAAACGAAAAACATGTATCAACAGGAAATTAAATCCTTGCGTGCCAAATGAAGAGATTCCTTCCCAGATTGTTTAATGCGTGCATATGGTGTCCTTTCCATTTGGTTATTCTTTTGAGCGCTTGATCTGCCAAATGCTTTGGCCCTTACAGGAGCCACCTGCCACGGTGCCTGCAGCCCCGCAGCCTCCGCTACCGGGGCTCGCGCTCCTCAGACACGCTGTGCGCTGGCGTGGGAACGAGACGCACCCTAACCTGACATTGTTCATAACGTAATTTTCTTAAAAATAAGTGAGATTGGTTTCAAGCCTATTTTTCTGCCATCATGCCTGCTACCTGCGTGTCATCCTGGCCCTAGAGAAAAGGGCGGCGTCGCAGCCAGAGAAAGTGAGCTGCGCAGAACGCTAGGGCTGCCCGGCGTTAGAGCGCGCGGGATCCCGGAGACGCAGTAAGGCCGAGATTCGGCTCAGAGTGCACGCTCTGTCCCGCGAGACAACGCGCGGCAGGACCTCGGTGCGCGCCCGTCCCTGAGCCCCGCCCCCCAGGGGAGCTGTCGCAGCGCGACCCGCGCGGGAGCCCGGCGCCCGGCTACGCTTCGGCAGAAACACGGAGTCGGGGACTCGACTGCCCGCCGTTCCACGCGGCAGCACGGACTGCGCACAGAGCGAGGAAGTGGAGCGTCCCACCAGCGCCTGTGGAAAGCCCGGACCTCGGTCGCCGATCTCAGCCGCGAGGCGCGGTTTCCCAGACAACGGGCGCGGCGCCTGCGCACATCGCTCCCGCGGCTCCAGCGCTGCCCGCCGCTTTCCCGGAGCCTGCGCACCTTGCTCCCCTTGCACCTCAGCCCCGCCCACGCGGCGGCAGCGGTCCCGAGAGCGGAAGCTCCCTGAGCGGAAGCGGAAGTGCGTGAGCGTCTGCTGCTGACTGAGGTCTGCGCGGGCGTTTCTCAGGCTGTGCAGGCGCATCTCTAGGTAGGGCTGGGTCTGCGGGGCCAGCGCCGTCCTGGCGCCGGTCTCCGCCCGACGGCCTCGGCCCCGCTGGCTGCGCTCGTGGGTCTGCGTCGCGGCCGCCCCGGCTGTGAGCTCAGGGGTGGTCCTCGGTCCCCTGCCTGCCCTCGACGCTGCCGTTCCCCCGCCCCGGGTTCGCCTGTCCTGTCACCTGCGGACCCCGCCGCTGTACCCCGCCTCCTCCCCTCAGGCGGCGCCTGCCGGCTTCCGGGCCGCCCAGCTGTCCTTAGCGGTCGGGCTGTCGCTGCCGTCCCCGGAGCCGCCGCGGTGTGCGTCCTCCACCCCCCGCCGCCGTCACCTCTGCGCTGCCCTGACCCTGAACCGCCACGCCAGCCCCGGGCCTTCGGGGACAGAAGGTTGACACGGGCTCGCCGCCGGCCCAGAACTTCACCGACGGCTCTGAGCCGTGTTTGGGTAGCGAGCGGCAAGGGGAGGGAGCGGGACAGAGAAGGGGGCTGGGTGTGTGGCGGCGGGACTCGACGGGGAAAAGACTCCGGTCACCTGGGGCGTGGGGGAGGAGGCACTCGGGTGTGCGTCACGGAGAGACCTGGCCGGGAAGACGCACCGCCGCTGCCCGCGGCTCCAGGGCCGCAGAGGCTGACACAGCCGTGGCCCTGCTTGGTTGGGGTTTTTTCGTCTTTCAGCTTTTCTGTCTCTTTCTTCTTTTTAGTTTTTCTACCCTTTTGCTTCCCCCAGGTCAGCGTTCCGCGTTCCTACCGCTGGTGTGCCTGCCTCCGGTGCCCTTTCCGTACTTCTTTCTGCTGTGGGCTTAGGAGCCAGTTGTTAGAATTAAATAGGAAAGTAGTCCGTAGATGGTAAGTCGGAGCCGGAGGGAGCCTCTGATGGAAGGTTGTTTTAGTTTTACCTCGTGGATTTGAAAATTTGTGTTGGGTTCTCATTCTGAGTTCTGAATAAACGAGGCTTCGAGTTTTACGGGTGTGCACACACTGTTTTCTTCTGTCGGGCGACAGTGGTTGTGTTCCATTGGCCCCTGAGGGGCTGCAGGGGTGGGAGAGGCCCGGGGCCCTGCACCCGGGGTGCCCCTGGGACTGGGGGGACCTTGCGGAAGGACAGGCCTGGGGCTGGAGGGCAGAGTGCTGGGTGGGGTGTGTCTCAGTGAAGGGGCCGCAGGCAGCCCCGGGGGCTGACAGGTTCCGATCCCTGCTTCTCAGCAGCCACCTGTGACCTCCCACTGCTGGCACCGCCCGGCTCTTCCCACCTCTGCCGGCAGGTGCACCTGCTGCACTAGAGTTGGAGCAAAGCCGGCCAGTGCAGCGGGACTAGAGGGACGTTTGCTCTGAGGCTCTCTGATTAAAAACGTAGCCATGTTCTTTGCAGAAAATGGGTAGAACAAAGAAACGTTTAAGTGTACAACTCCACGTGCTTTGACCCATGCGCACGCCAGGTTTCTTTTCTGACCAACCTGGGCCTCTGCCCCCCTCTCCAAAGATCCAGATCTTAGGCAGGGACTTCGTCTTGTCCACTGCTGTGTCCACAGCTGCCAGCACAGGGCCTGGAGTGCGCTCAGCTCCAGAGGAACCTCAGCTGAGCGCAGGTGGGGATGTAGCTCTCGGACCTTTGGTGTGTCTGGGGGACCGGGATGTGGTCTCTCTGCCCTCCTCAGTCGCCTGCGGTAGGAGATGGGGTTCTGTGGCCCTAGGGGGAGGGTGCGGGCTCTTGGGCAGCCAGAGCAGCCGGTGTCCATGGAAGCCCCCGCTTTATCTCCAGTCTTGCCGCCTTCCCCCTCCTCCACGACAGTGGCAGGGCAGGGCAGGGCTGCTGAAATGCACAGCCTCGAGAGCCTTCACTGTGCCCTGACTTCCCTTCGGGTGCAGAGTAAACGCACGTGTGGCTTTCAAGTCCCTGTGCCGGCTGGCTCTGTGGCTGCAGCCTCAGCTCTCTCCCCTTTTCCCAAAGGAGAGGGGTTATTTTTTTCCATTTTCTGTGTGTGAGGCACAGACTTATACATGAAGTTGCAGGTCAAACTAGATAAAACAGACATGTTAAGCACCTTAGAAACATCCACTTAATAATAAAATAGATTACGAACTTGATCTTCACGGACTTAAATTTGTGCCTTTTCACTCTTGCGTCAGGCCTCCTGTCTGCCTCGTCTCCGTCTCCCTCTGGCCACTCAAGACGGCCACCGTGGGTCCCGGACCCGGGCCGGGTCTTCCGGCTGCGTGTTCCCCACGTTCACAGTCCCTGCCCTTCTCTGTCCTGCCGTCGTGCCCCGGGGCCTGGTGCCTGTTGGGCACGTCCCTGCGGAGGGCAGGGCTGGAGGTCTGTCTCGTGCGTGGCTCTGTGTGTGCCGCAGAGCTGCCTGCTGACCGAGTTGACCCAGGCTTCTGTTCAGACGAAACTGCCCTGGTGGTGGTGAGAGCTGAGAGCTGATGCGCTGCCGCTCCGGATGGACAGCCTGTCGGGGGAGAATGGCCGGGAGGTGCCTTTACTTTGCCCCAGCAGTGTCATGTCTAAGACTCACCCCAAGGAAGTGACCGACATGTGCCCACAGATTTGCACACGTGGGCGTGATTCACGTTCTTTCTTACGGCTTACGGCATGGCGATAGGCTGCACACTCAGCAGCGGGGCTTCGCAGCTCGCTGGGCACCCGCACTGCGCGCCCGTGAGGACGGCTCTGCGCGAGGCGAACGTGCTGGTGTGGGGACATGTTCACGGCACCTGCAGACACACAGTGGGTTGCGGAGGAGCACTAGGAGTAGATACTCTGAAGTATTTATTACAGTCCTTATCTGTGGAAGATGAGGTTGAGTCTTTTTTCTCTGTGATGTTCTGCTAAGAACATGAGTACTTTTTTACAAAATTTTTACCAATATATTCCCAATATTAAAACATAACCTGTGTTATAAAAGTTGTAAGTATAGTAAACCGTCACTAATAGTAAATGGCTTTGTTTTAAATTTTGAGATAATTTAAGAATTTTGGACTGGTGCTGGGCAGATTTTACTGATTACATCAGTTTAGGCAACTGATGGATAAATTTATAATTAGATGAAATTGCATCACAATTTATCAGGTAGGTGTTATGAAGCTTACTTTGCAGATAAGAAAAATGAAGCTTGCAGAGTAAGGTGACCTGCTCAGAATTTCCCTGCAAGGAATGGAGATTAGAGTTTGACTCAGTGCAGGTTTGTTTTAGAGCCTTCCCTTTTGCCAGCAGTACTGCCTGGCTCTGCCACTCTGCCCTAGGACACAGCACAGAGGGCACCGCCAGCTGCTGAGCGTCTGCATCAGGGTGTTCTGACAGTCTGCCCCAGGACTTGAGGCTGGTGGGAGCGGTCCTCCAGGGCATCGGCCTCTGGGCAGGTTCACCTAGGCGCAGTGAAGTGCATCGCAGTAGCTGCAGGCTTCCCCTGGAATAAGTTACTTCCGGCAAGTGGAACAGGAAGGAAGACTTTGTTCAAGACTTGCTGTAGGGGAGCGGGGTGGGGCTTGGCCTCACGCACAGCAAGGGTACCTGGGAGTTCACAGCCCTCAGGCAGAGCGAGGGTCAGCAAGAGCTGGGGTGGGTGCTGAGGGGTCTGCTCGGATGTCGAGCTGGGCATTCTCTCTACACTGACTCAGCAGGTGTCTTGCCAAGAAAGACTGGGCTCTGCAAGGACGGAGGCTTGTGGAAGCCCAGGGGCGGGGCCTCAGGGGCCCAGAAGAGGCTGCCGTGGGGCGAATCCCTTGGAACCGTCAGCCCCTGTTCCTGCCCCTCTGTGGACGGGCTCGTCCTAAACTGCTCTCGGTGGGTGAGGCGGGAGGACTGGAGAGAAGGAGGAGCAGGCTCAGGTGTCCCATGGGAGCTGGGAGGGCCCCACTGAGGGCCGCGGGCAGCCAGTGTGGGCCTGCTGGGGACTCGAGTGCACAGGGCAGAGAGGGCTGCACCCGTGTCCTGGTCACCCGGGGCCACTCGACTCCCACAGGTGTGCCCTTGGCTTTCCTCTCTACCCCTGACCTGAGTCCAGACGCTGCTGTTGCCTGTTAATGTGTAGATTTTTGTTTGGAGCATCAAATTGCTCAATAAAGATAAATTCAAGGTTATGGTTCATTTGCTCTGTAAGACATTAGCCAGCCTGTCTCCAACTTAAAGGAGCCTTATTTTAAGCAACTCCAGCTCTTCCAGTGCCCTCTGCACCTGGGACGTGTCCCCGTGGCTGTCCACGGTCCCTCCCTCTGGATGTGTAGTCAGACCCCTCCTGGCGGCGGCAGGTGGTGGTGGTGGTGCGTTGCTGCTGAGGCACGTGCACTTCGTTTCTCTGTCTGTCCGTCGACAGGTTGTGAATAAAGCAGCTTCTGGACTTGTCTGTCTTCTGTCCACTTCCTCGTTTACTGGTGACCCAGTACCTGGGGTTGGGGTGGCTGTGAGGAGAGCAGAGCCATTCCAGGGAGCGAGGCCGCCCTGGGGTAGGGGGGGTGTTGCCTGTGCACTTGCTGGCCGCTCCCCGTGAGCCCCCTGCACTGAGGCCCCTCCAGGGCAGTGGCTCCGCGTCCGACCCCCCTTTGCCTGTGTTTGGAGCCTGCGAACGGGGTGATTCCTGCTCTCTGTCCACACACCGGCCCCCGACACCACTGTTAGTCTGTTCACTCGCATGCCCTGGGCCCCGCACGTGGAGGACATGCCCAGGGTGTCAGGGACGCGACAGTGTGGCGTGTGCCCCGGGGAGGCTCCCGGTGGTGGAGCTGGCGCCCAGGCTGTGTTTTGGGCAATAAAACTCCTACCGAATGAGACAGAACTCCTGTTTCCTTTCTAAACAATGAAAGTTTCCTTATAATTTGCAGGTAGAATCAAAGGTTTAAAAACCAAAAAATTGTGTAAAAGGTAATGTCCACAGAATTACATTCTGAAGTGGTTTGCTCCCCGGCGCACTGCCCCCGGTGGCAGGTGGCGGGTGGGCGGGGACGTGTGGAGCCGGAGCGTGGAAGAGCCTCTCGCGCCAGGCTCCCAGACCTCCGCACATCCGGGCCTGCCTCTGCAGGTGCCAGGGAGAGCACGCAGGGAGATGACGCCCCTGAGGGAGTTTGCGGTTTGAGCTGGGAGAGACGGGCTGCGTGAAAGACAGGCAACCCCAGAGCAGGTTCGGTGGAGATAGTGAGCTTTTCACGGCTGGGGTGAGAAGGGAGGAACGGCGCGTGAATGAAATCAAAGCCGAGCCGAGCTGGACTCCTCGTGCAACAAAGAGGAGAGTGTTTCGGGAAACTCAGTGTTGTCACTTGCAGTTTCAGTAGAAAAATGCTGGAAACAAAAATCCCTTTTTGTTGGCTAGGGAAGGCAGCCAACTCGCACGTGGCCTGGCCGCTGTGCAAAGGGGGGCCTGGCCGTGGGAGCCGGCGGGGGGCTGGGGGGACGAGGCAGTGAAGGCAGACTCGACTGCGTTCCCACTGGCTGCTGGTGAGCTTGGGGAGGCGCCCGCAGCACCCAGCCTGGAGCCCGAGCCGGCGAAAAACTGGGCGCTGAGTCACACTCCCGCTCCTGTCTTGCTCACCAACAAGCCTCGAGAGCCTGCTTTTCTCAGAGCGAGGCATGGAATAATAACAGCCTGGGCTCTGGGGAGTCTAGGCATTGTGACCACCCTTGTGTCCTTGGATGCCCTCTGCAGACCTGCACCTGCCCACCACTGGACAGTCCTAAGAGCCCCCCACTGACCCCCGGCAGAAATAGGATGTCACCTTCCTAGACGCAGCGTCCGCGCCTGGAGGTCCCAGCGACAGCCTTAGAGTTGAGATGGTTGTGTAGTCAAGTCCGGTCTGCATCAGAAGCCGCAGGCCCTGTGACGGTCCTTTGGTGAACGCCACTCTGGGAGGAGCTCTGCGGCAGGCTGGGGCGTGTGCATCCATGTGTCCCACACATGGATGTAGTGTGCAAGGCTTCTCTGCATTTCAGCATGAGTGTGTGTGACCTGTGTCCACCCAACCTCTGTATTTTCTTCCTGTAATGGCTCTTAAACAGGGAACTTCAAATTCTACTGGCGGGGCCGGTGTCCACCGACAGGCAGTAGGTGCTTAAATGGTGACCCTGTGCCGGTGCCTGTTCTTAACCTGGCCCTGTGCTCACAGCTCCTTCATGTGTGAAGAAACAGAGCTGTAGGTGTTTACGCGTCCACGCCATCTCCGCAACGCGGGTCTGTGTCCGCGGTCGGTCTGCTGTGCTCAGTCCTCAGCCCAGGAGAGGAGAGGCTCCATCTTCTCGTGCCGCCTTTTGCAAAGTGGGTTTTTTTGTCTTATTTTATCAAAGGACACTAAGCCCTGACAAGGGTGAAAACCAAAGCGAAAAGCACAGGCCGTCAAGATGAAAGATGTTACCCTGGGATCATTTCTGACCTTGGGCGGATGATGTTACCTGCCCGGTAGTGACTTCTGTTACAGCTTCTATTGTGTGAGGACCTCTTCTAGAGTGCTCTGCTTAGATTTGTTTCAGATTCTGAGTTCTAACTCTTTGAACCACATTTTAGAAAGGGCAGTTTTCCGTTCAGAGTTGTTGACCGTCTCAGATGTCACAAACACAAACTTAGTGGCAGTGAACTTCAGTGCGCTGTGCTTCGGGTCTGAGGCTGGGGGTCCATATGTGCAGAAGGCCAGCGTAGGTCCCATGTGGGCTTTCCGCTGTGCATGTGGTCAGCCTCTGAACCATGCCTTGTTCAGGGTCGACTAGTTGTCGTTTTTCTTTTATGATTTTATTTATTTATTTTTAGAGAGGGAAAGGGAAGGAGAAAGAGAGTGAAACATCAACGTGTGGTTGCCTTTCACATGCCCCTTACTGGGGACCTGGCCCACAACCCAGGCATGTGCCCTGACTGGGAATCGAACCAGCAACCCTTTGGTTCTCAGGCCTGCACTCAGTCCACTGAGCCACGCCAGCTAGGGTTAGTTTTCTTCTTTAGTCCCTTTATTGAGGTGTAGTTGACGTAAGAAAACTGCATATGCTTAGAGTGTACAGTTTAACGTGTATTTACCTGTGAAAGCACCACAACCAAGGTAGCAACCATGCGTCTGCTGGCAGTGCCGTAACAGCCTCTTGCTTTCTTTTCAGGTCCCGCCAGGAGTCCGGTCATGGGTGTGAGAGGCTTGCACGGGTTTGTGGGAAGCAGCTGCCCGCAGGTGTGCACGGAGGTGAACTTCCGGGAGCTGGCTGAGCAGCACCGCAGCGAGCACCCAGGCCGTGCCCCCACCATCGTGGTCGACGCCATGTGCTGCCTCAGGTACTGGTACACCCCCGAGTCCTGGGTCTGTGGCGGCCAGTGGAAAGAGTACTTCTCTGTCCTGGAGGACTTCGTGCGGACGTTCACCGCTGCGGGCATCAGGCTGGTGTTCTTCTTCGACGGCATGGTGGAGCAGGACAAGCGGGACGAGTGGGTGCGGCGGCGACTCAAGAACAGCAGGGAGATAGCTAGGATCTTCCGCTACCTCCGGGCACACGGGGAGCAGCCCGGCCGGAGCATGTTCTTCATCCCCTCGGGGCTGGCCATCTTCACGCGCTTCGCTCTGAAGACCCTGGGCCAGGACACGATGTGCTCCCTGCAGGAGGCCGACTACGAGGTGGCCGCATACGGCCGCCAGAACGGCTGCCTGGGGATCCTCGGAGAAGACACCGACTACCTGATCTATGACACCTGTCCCTACTTCTCCATCGGCGAGCTCTGCCTGGACAGCCTCACCACCATCATGCTCTGCAGGCAGAAGCTCTGCGCCAGCCTGGGCCTCGGCCTGCCGGACCTCCCTCTGCTGGCCTGCCTGCTGGGCAACGACATAGTCCCAGAGGGCACGTTTGAGACCTTCCGGTACAAGTGCTTGTCCTCCTACACCTCCGTGAGAGAGAACTGTGACAAAAAAGGCAGTGTTGTCTTTGCCGTGGCGGACCACATATCTAAAGTTCTTCGCTTGCACCGAGGTGAGAGAAAGCTGGAAGAGATGTTGCCTTTGGGACCAAACAAAGCTCTTTTCTATAAAGCGATGGCGTCGTATCTTTTGCCAGGACAGAAATCTCCATGGATTCCCCAAACACCCAAAGCTGTAACAACTTTGGACAAGCAAGAAGTTCCCATGAGTTCAGACCCTGAATCCAAGCAAGAAGTTCCAGTGAACTTGGAGCCCGAAATCAAGCAGCAAGTGACCATGGTTTCAGACACTGAAATCTTAGAGGTATGTAGATGTGCCCGCCCAAATCGAGTATGAAAACATGCTAGTGACTGAAACCATACCCACTGGGGACCCAGGAGTGCTGACCCCCTACAGCGGTCGAGGCGCTGTGGGGACACAGAGCAGGACCCGAGGAGTTCAGTTAGGAAGTGTGACATGAGTCATAGAAACTCACATTGTCAACCACATCCTTTAAGAAAATGTCTTTTTTTTATTGATTCTGGAGGGGAAGGGAGGGAGAAGGGAGACAAACATTGATGCACAAGAGCAACATCGATCGGTTGTCTCTTGTGTGCACTCCATCTGGGACCAAACCCGCAGCCCAGGCATGTGCCCTGACCGGGAATCGAACCCACGGCCTTTCTGTTCACAGGGCAGCGCCCAACCAACTGAGCTACACTGTCCAGGGCCGTAGACCGTGTCTGCTGCTGTCACGGAGTGTACGGAGGGAGCTCTGGTGCTGTGGAGGAGGGCGGTCACTGTGGGCTGAGGCCCGGAGAGAAGCCCCAGGAAGGGGGAGGTGGAGCCAGACCTTCACAGGCCGACCTTGGCTTTGAACAGGCCGAGGCCGAGAGGTCGGTGGGCAGAGAGGTGTGGAGTGTGGAACCCGTGTCGCCTGGGGACAGCAGCAGGGGCAGGCTGGAGGGTGGGGTTTCAGGGCAGCAGTAGGGAGGACGACCCAGAAAAGGTGGACCGCAGTCAGGTTGTGAAGGGTTCCAAACCCTGGGTTCCACACCAGGGTTTGGGCGGAAGGCTGAGAGCAGCCCAGAGCCCTCTGGGCTTTCGGTGGGAGGACCGCTGTGTGCTGGGCACCGCTGTGTGAGGCTCTGTGTCGTTCGGGGCAGCACTCTCGCAGCGAGGCCCGTCGGGGGTGAGGGGCATGCCCACAGGAACACCCATGGGCACCTCAGGTTTAGTTTAATGCTGATCCCTTGGTGTCACACACACACCTTTCCTCGTCCTGGACGGTGAGCTCTGCTGTCTCGCACCCCGCCGTGTGCATTGCAAACCTGGGGCTTAGCCCGGGCGTTTCAGGAGCAGTGCCCCCAAGCCCTGTGCTCCAGTCCAGGCCGTCCCGTCCCGTCCCGTCCCGTCCTGTCCTGCCTACTGCAGCCGTCTCGAGACTCTTCCAGGGTGGCTCCTGCCCGGCCAGTGGGACTACCACACCGCGTGCAGAGAAGAGCCCCGGCTGCGCCTCGTAACTGCTCTCAGGCTGGGGGCGGGGGAGGGCGGTGGGGGGATATCGCTGGGCGAGGCTGGGGCCCGCCAGCCCTCACCCCGGTGGCAGCTCATCCTCTTGTGCTCTGTGGAACCCCTGTGTGTGGGTTATGGTAGCCCTTCCGACGTTAGGCTCTCGTTGGACGAGAGCGCGAGAACCACACATCGGCTCCCCCGCCACGTGCCCCGCACTGCAAGGCAGGAGCCGGTGCGGGCTCAGCTCGCAGTCTTCACTCTGCAAGAAGTCAGTGAGCAGAGGGAGGGGTGAGGCGACAGTCTCTCCTCCCAAGGAGGTCGAGGTTCGGCGGAGGGATCAAACAAGACGACCACCCTCCGCGGGGCCACTGTGCACCAAGCCCCACGTGGAGGGGGGCAGAGGGCCTAGGGGGAGGTGAGCCGGGGACCCTCAAGGGAGAGGGGCGGGCGAGGTGGGAGCGCTGCGGGGGTGCACGTGCCTGCTGGCTGAGGCCCAGACGGCTGCGCGGGGGTGGGGTCGAGGCTGCTGAAGGGTTTGTGGCAGCTGTTCAGAGGCACAGACGAGGGCCGTGGGTGGCCCTCTGTGGACGGTGGGGCGAGCCTTGCCCAGCAGCCTCCCCCTTGGCGGACCCAGGGCCGTGCTGCGGAGTCAGCGAGTCTGGCCGGTGCTTGGGGCCCGGAGGGCAGGGAGCCGTGGGGCGCTCCGGCCCGGAAGCCCGGCCGCCAGCTCGAGTTTGGGGGACAGCTGCTCCGCTGCGGAGTCCTCAGAGCACTGGTGTGGGCGCAGGTGCGCACGTCTTCTGCCCGAGGGCTGTGCCTCCGTTCCGAGGAGAAACCCGCCATGTCTAAATTCTGCACAGGTGGCCAGAGCCCGTCACGTGCAGGCGGAGAGCTACCTGGTGTACAGCGTCCTGACCAGCGGGGAGGTCGAGTGCAGCAACACCCTGGAGGACGCGCTGGACCAGGCCCTGCCCAGCCAGGCCTTCGTCTACCGCCCGGTGCGGCAGCGCGTCTACGCCCTCCTGCTGGCGGACAGCCAAGGTGAGTCCTCGGGCCGACGCAGGGGCCGGTGAGTCCCGGGACTCGGGCCGGTCGGGGCATGGACACCCTCCGTCGGGCTGTTCTCTGCGGAGCCCGCAGTGGAGCGTGCCACGGGCGTCCACGAGACGTTGGGGTCAGTGCCGCGGGCATCTGCAGGTGGCCAGCCAGGGGTTGGTCAGCAGTCATTAAAGAAAAGTATGTTGTTTCTATAAAACGTTGTATTTTATGCCTTCAAAGGACTTGTGCTTTTTAAAAGTAAGAAAACCCTTTTCTCCTGGAGGAGTGTACGTGTGTTTAAAATGCAAAGAAAACTCTCCTTTAGGCTATTTGTAACTAGGCCCTCGGGTCTTTCCACCCTCCGTCCACCCCGCAGCGGCGGCAGAAGTGTAGAGAGGGGAGGGACGCCAGCGGCCAGAACGGTGGCCTGGCAGGCCCTTCCCACGGGAAGCTGTGTGGCCTCTCTCGCCCGGGACTGGCTGCCCGCACCCTCCGGGTCTGCTGTGACGGGTGGTGGGGAGGAAGCTGGCTTAGAAACAGAAAGAGAAGAACCCACGTGATAAGCTTTGGGGCCAAATGTTGTTTAGTTTCTTTTGCACGTGGCTCTCTGCCCATTCTTTCTAAACCTGATTGATTGCACATTGACTAATGGTTAAAAAATACATTTTCATCATGAAAAACATTCACGTTACAGAACAACATCTGCGTGGAATTGTTTCTAGAGCATAGTTTACCCGTGAACGAAACAGTTCAGGGACTGGGGCGTCACCCCACGCCGGGTCAGAAACCCACACGCGGCCTCGCGGGGCCCCCGCGTGCGCCGCGCCTCCGCAGCAGGGCTCGGGGCTGCGCCCGCCCCTCCGGAAGCTGCGTGCAGGTGGGTCGTGCAGCTCCAACTCCCGCTGGTCGAGGACCAGCTGTGTTCCGCGAAACGGGGTCGGGCACAGAACCCTCGCTGACTCAGCACTTCGTCAGCGCCCCTCGGTCGATGACCGTGGCAACAGGGAAAGGTCGTCCCCCTGAACTTGTCTTCGTACCTGGTCCTTGTTTTCCTTCTTCTTTCTCAGCGTCTTGGGTTTCTGTGTTGTTAGTCGACAGTGCTGGAATGTGGAAACACGGTGCTCTGTTGCCGGTCTGTTTATGGTGACGACAGTGGAGTGCACTCTGTGCTCTCTGCTGGGCGCACGCAGCTCCCGGCCCGCGGGCGCCTGGACGTTGCACAAGTGTCAGGCGGGAATGCGGGCGCGCAGGTCTCGTACCAGCTCCCTGCTGACTTGTTCTCAGTTCTCGAGAAAGGGTGTCGAAACCTTCCGATGTGATTGTGGATTTCCTTTCCTATGTTCAGCTCTGTTGGTTTTTGCTTCAGATATTTTTGAAGTTCTGTTGTTAGGTCCATATATATCGAGGGTCGTTGTTTCTTATGAGTTGACTCTTGGGACATTACGAGATTTCCCATTTTAGTGTCTGAAACGTGCCTTGCCTTGAAGCTGGCTCCGTCTGATGCCAGTGTGCGGACTCCAGTCCTCCGTGGCGAAGGTTTGCTGGCACCCCCTTCTCCACCCTTTGACCCCCCTCCCGAGTGGTTTCAGCAGTGAGGGGCGCCTCTGCCTGCTCACGGGGGCGTTCGGACCGCTGACCTTCGGCGTGGTCACCGACGTGGGTGGGCGTGAGGCTTCCGTGCCATTCTCTGCCCGGCTTTTCTCCTCCTCGTCGTGTCCTCGTCTGACTTCTTTTAAATCCACGGAATGATTTTTAGTACTCCGTTTCACATTTTCTTGGGGGTTGTTGGGTTCACCTGTCGTTTTTAGTAGTAGTGGTCAGTGAGCCTGGGTCTGCTCGCTGACTGCCCCCCCGTGACGGGCCCACGGTGTGTCCTGACGGTCGTGTCCAGTGTCTCGTAGTCACGCGCCGGAAGGATCTGGGTGCTCCGAGGAGTGCTGACTTCTGTCCACGTCCGAGTCTTTGAGGGCCCACCCAGGGCTTTCGAAGGTGGGCCAACGGGAGCGTTCACCCCGAGACTGCCCAAGTGCAAGGCGCCCACCGCGGTCTCTGCACATGGGAGCCCTAGGGCGCCCACGGGCGGTGGGCAGGCCCCCCCAGCGGAGGTTTGGCCTGGCGCCCCCGAGTCTCACCCGGACACGGAGAGTGCAGTCTCAACCCTGGCCCAAGGGCGCAGCTCGGCAGACGACCGCACCCCGCCGCCCAGGGCCTGCTCCCTGCCCCCTGCCCTGCAGGCCCGGCTGCCGGCTGCTGTGACAGCCTCGGTGTCAGCCCCGTGCCCCTGTCTCAGACTCTCTCCTCCGCCGGGGCTCTTCCTCCCAGGGCTGCGTCTGCACCGCGCCTCGGGGAGGAAACCAGGGGGAGGCCACGGTGGCCTCACCTTGTCTGGGTCGAGAACCCACGGTGGTGGGAGAGCTAGTGAGCAGCCCGACTGCCCGCAGCCCCGCCCCCAGCCCTCTGGGGCTCCAGTCGCTGAGCTTTTCCTTTCTGGGTGGCTCCTCTCCCTTGGAGAGCTTCAGCGCATTCTTTCTGTCCTTTATGTGCATGCACAGTTCCCCAGTGTCTGTGTGTGGGAGGAACTGCAGAGAGGTGGGCGCCCGCCCGCCCTCCTGGGCTGGTGGTCCGTGCTCCTTCATCTCCTACGTCCCGGCCTGGTGTCCCACTTTGCAGGAGCATGTCCCCACTCTCAGCTCTCCCGGGAAAGCTCCCCTCTCCCTTTCCTCTCCCCACCTCTGCTGCTGGGCTGGTGCTGGGTGAGCCCGCTGCCCCTCCCCGCTGCCGAGTCCGCCCGGCTGGTCAGATGCCTGCTGGCGCCTGGCTGTGGTGCCCACCCCTCCCCCCGCTGGCCTCACCAGCCTCAGCTGCCTTCCCCTGAAAACTGTGTCCGAGGTCAGAAACACGACATTCATTTCTCTGGCTCAGGCTGTTCTTTTGGTCACTTCTGTGCGCCCTGAAGTCCTTACAAACGCCCCCAAGTCCCTCCCCTGCCCCTTGTCAGAAGCGGATCCGTCTCTGAAATCACCACATGCTTTCCGGTCTGAGGCCCCTGGTGGTGGGTGCCTGCCTGGGGGGCGTCTGTCTGCCGCCCCTGCTCCCGCTGGGCTGCTGAGCTGGCAGGTGCTGCCCAAGGGGGCGTTCGCTGCAGGTCCGTGGCCGGGGCACCTTTGTTGCTCATGTGCTTTAAATGCTGCCTTTTCAAGGGTGTCTGCGTCGAGGAAGGCGCCCTGTGGACCAGGGAAACTCTGATGGCTGCACTGCGGGGCGGGCAGGAGTGGCAGCCGCTCGAACCCTCCAGGCCCAGCGTGACTGGCAGGCAGGCGCTCACTGCTGTCACCTGGGGTCTGGAATTGAGGGGCCCTCAGCTCCGCGGTGCAGATGCTGTAAGCCACGTTCTCTGACCCACACAGCCCTGCCTGCAGTGGGTGTCCGCCGCAGCCCCGGGCACTGGGTGGGCACCTAGTGCTTCAGAGCCCCTGTCACGGGGACGGTGTGGGTGACCAGCCTGCAAGCACCCTGAGTCCAGTGGTGCTGGGGTGTGACTGAGACCATGCCTGCAGGTATCTTATGGTCGAATGTGGGTGTTTGGACCTCAGGATGGCGTTGTGGCCAACAGTGGGGAGAAACCCCAACATCACTCACCCCTGAGCCCGTCCCTGGCCTCACACCTCCTCTGACCTGATGGTCTTGGTTTAAGTCACTGCGAAGCCTCGTGAGTCTGAGGGGACGGGGGAGCTCCCTCCAGCCTCCACGGTCGACAGTGTTGGAGACGAGCTCCGTGCGCACGGCCGCCGCCAGCAGTGGGGCTGGCCTCCTGCTCCCAGCCACCCTCTGCTCAGCCGGCCAGTGGGCGTGCTGGGCCCGGGGTGGGGCAGGCTGCCGCCCCGCAGTGGGGACTCAGCCCCACCAGGGAACAGTGTCCACTCAGAGCGGCACCTTCGTGAAGCGCCTCCAGGCCGTTCACACGTTAAAATCCTCGACGCTGACCCAGAGGGAACTGTTTTGAACAAGTGTACACAGAAAAGAACAGGAAGTTTTTCTGTTCTGTGAGGAACCACGACCACACACTGGCGGACTGAACAGCACTACAAAAACGTGACAGAACCAGCAGGACAAGTGCATTTTTTAAAAAGCCTGGAGCGTTGTCGCAAACTTGAAAACCCCAGCAGTTGAGAGGTCCAAGCCCACGTTGCTTCTCCTCTTCCCCTGCCCCGCCCGCCCCCTGCGGCTAACCCTAACCCCCGCCCACACGCACCTGCCCGCAGACCCAGGTCGTGAGCGGGGGGCCGGCACCCTGAGAGCTGGTGGTCGCAGGAGCTGGTGGTCGCAGGAGCAGGTTTGGGCCCCTCCTCCGTCGGCGTGGGTGGCGTCCCGGCGTGCGGGAGAGCGGGGCTGGCAGGGAGCGCCCCTCGAGCTTTCACTCCGCGCTGTGGACGCAGAGCCCGCCCAGTCCGACGCTCCTGGGAGAAGAATCAGCCTTTTCTTTTGGGAACTGCCCGGCTGTGTTATTTCTTCTTCTTCCTTCTTCCTTCCTCCTCCTCCTCCTCCTCCTTCTTTATATGTAGGTGTATATCAGATTATTTCATTTTAACTCAGATAAACCAAATTATTGCAGACATTTTGCTGTATTTTCCGAGAGAGGACAGGTGACAGGCCGTGGGCTGAAGTGGCACCCCAGAGAATGGGCCGAACCCTAGGTTTTCCAGGGAAACAGGTTGCCTGCTATTTCAGGGGGAGCTCAGACTGGGGCGCGGGGCGCGACCGCCACTGTCCGCAGGAGGGCGACCGGGACCGAGGGTGGAAACCGGGCTGTCCGACTGCCCGTCCGGGTAGGGACAGGACCCACGCCAGCACTCCTGTGCTCGGGGACGTCGACAGCGCGGTCCGGCCTCTGCACTGTCTCCTCCCTCTCGTGACGGGAGGCGAGTTGCAGGTCTGAGTCAGCGGTCCCTGCTGCCGGGGGCTCCGGTCCTGCCTCCGAGGCCTGGCGGGGAGGGCAGGAGGCCGGGGGCCCGGCTGGAGGGGTCCCGACAGGGCCGGGTCTGGGCCGTCAGCCCAGGGACGGGCGGCCCCCACGCACACCTGCTGACGTGGCCCGTCTCTGTGCAGGTGGAGCCGGCAGCTGCCCTGCAGTCCGGGAGTGGTTCGTCTATGCAGGGAACCCCCTGCGGCACCCGGACCTCGTCAGGCCTCTGCAGATGAACCTCCCAGGTACCGACAGCCCTCGTGCGCACAGAGTGCCATTGTGGGTGTGCCATCGTGGGTGCGCGGCGGAGTCGGGCCTCCCCGACTGCACGGGCACCGGTGTCCACGTCATCTGCTGCCCCCGGGAGGTGGGAGACAGCGGGTAGCAGTGGGAGCAGGGGGCGGGGGAGCCAGCCTCTCATCCCGGCGCCCCATGGTGGCTCACACCCCAGGACGGCACCTGGGCACGCGCCCCAGAAAGCACCCCGACAACACGGCACAGTGCAGGCAGGAAGGAAGCACCTGCCCCCCACGGGACCCAGACAGCAGGGCATTTCGGAGAAGGGCAAGGGTGCTGGCCCCACACGGGAGCCCTGCTGGCGTTTTCCTCCTGTCCCCCATGTCGGCGGGGCAGAGGTCCCTGTCTTTCACTCTGGAAGAAGGACGGGAGGACCTCCTGGTGGAAGAGTAATGCCGCGGGTCCTGCGGGCTTCCCTCTGCAGGGGGGACGCCCAGCCTGCGGCAGCTGTGGCTGAGCCAGGAGCCCGGGGTCCAGGCCCAGCGCGTGGACGTGCTCCTCGCCTGCCTCGACCTCGCCGCCTCCAGGGAAGAGCTGCAGGCCTTGGAGAGCCCCTTCCGGACGCTGTGCTGCCTCCTCATCTACCTGTTCATGCAGGTAACTGCAGCCCCCCGCCCCTGTCTCACGGGAGGTGCTGCGTCACCTCTATCCAGCACCTGGTCGTGAGTACCAGCCCTTTGCAGAGCTCGTGTGCTGAAGGACGGCTCTGTGCGCGTCACACGAGGGAGACGCCACCGCCACCGACTCCGGCGTGCGATGTGGGCACAGGGAGCGGGCCTGGTGGCTCTGCTTCCAAAGCCTTGAGACAGCGGACTCCCCATCCCGGCCACTGCGTCACTGCTGGGTGGCGTCTCACCTCCTGGGATGTGGGGGGCAGGTGGCGGGTCCGACACTGCCCTCAAGCTCCCTGGCTGCAGCCCGGCTGCCCCTCCGCAGTCTGCCCCGGGGCCAGAGGACGCCCTTTCGCCGAGCGATGCTCCCCCGTTCCTGTGACGGGTACCTCCAGTCTGAGGACGGGCAGCCCCAGGGTGGAAGCAGGAGTGGTCTGTGAAGTGGGTGTGGCCGTCGTGGTGACCATCCTCCTCAGCCTCCCGCACTGGGGCCAGGCCGCTGCCTCCCCGGGCCCCAGGCAAGGCAGTTTCTTGTTTCCTCATTTCACGCTCAGTTTACGTGTGGAAAGCATTGAGGCCCATGAAAAGGTCTGCCTTTCTAGCAGTTTGCTCGCACACTCACACACACCGCTCTGACAAGACTGGGACAGCCGGTGGAAGAAGAGCTGAGAACCCTGGTGTCCCCGGTCCCTTCCCCAGCACCTGCATTAATACAATGTCCCCCTCATGCTCAGCGTCCAGTAGCAGAAGGCCGGTGCAGACTCCCACGCCGCCTCCACCCCCAGCTGTGCGTCTTCTGCTCCGACCCTGGGCCTGGGGGCGCGACCCTCCCTCCCTCCCTCCCTCCCTCCCACCTGGGGGGAAAGCTCTGGGGGTCTGCCCTCGGACCTGAGCCCCTCTGCGAACAGCAGAGGGTTACATTTCGGGAGCCTGGCCGGTTCCTCCCTCGGCGTCCCCTGGGCTGTGGGCTGTCACACTGGGGCCGTGTCACTTCGCCCCTGGTGGCACGTGGCCGGTGTGAACTTGAGTCTCTGCGTTCCGCCCCTGTTTCAAGGAGAGCACTTCTTCATTCGCACCAGACTTAGCAGAGTGCAGGTTAGTGCTGGGTGGCAGGATTCGGCCCTGTTTAAGTGTGAAAACACCTTTTCCTGATGCTGTGCACCGTGTGTGCCCTCTCTGTGAGCTGCCGGTGCCGCGTGTGAACCTGCGGTGGCTCGGTCAGGCCGGGCGCGGTGGCCACTGGGCCGTGCCGAGGGGCTGGGGGCTGAGCTCCCTCCCCCAGAAAAACAAGTGTGTTCGGCCGGCGCGGTGGGTGCCGGTGGCAGCTCTCCCAGGGCGTGCACTTGGAGCTGTGTCTGCAGCTGCAGAGGTGGCTCAGCGAGGCCTCCGCGGGCACTGGGCGCCACTCAGCCCGCACCGCCCGCTCTGCGGGGCCCGGTGCTCGAGTCCCCTCCCGGCAGTTCTGGGCCGGCACGGGGTGGCGGTGTTCCGCTCACGTGTGCGGTTAACGTGCAGCGAGACGGGCACCCAAGGGAAGCTGCCCCTTGGACCTTTTTTCTTCGCATAATTGCCTCAGAAATAAAAGTCTCCTCGGCGAACATCAGCACGAGGCAGAGCGTGTCCGTTTGACCTTGAAGGACACGTGCGCGGGGACTCTTTAGGCCTGAAAGCGACCAGGGGACTCGGCCGTGGTGTCTGGTGCCGGGAAGGTCCTGACTGTCGTCCACGGCGGCCACTGCCTCGGGGCCCGGGGGGCTGCAGGGGCCCGTGTGCTGCTGCGCTCATGTCACGGTTCCGTGTGGGACGTGGGACGACCCACATCCTGTTCGGGCGCAGACCTGCCCGGGAACTCGCCCGCATCTCGGAGGGAAGTCGGGGGGACCAGTCCCCGCCACAAGAGGGGCGCGTTTGACGTGATTCACGGCAGAGCAGACACTTAAAAAGCAAAAAGCAACGCCTGTTGTGTGAAATTCTAAAACACGGGCGTGACGAAGAGACTGGCATCCGAGGTTTGTGGGCGGCACAGTCGGCAGCCGGAAGCCCGCGACCTGCCGCAGACCCAGACAGAAAGCGGCACTCTGCCCCGTGGGTCCCTGTGCTGAGGCCAGCCGTCCTCGGAGCCCCGGTGGCAGGGAGTGACCAGCAGGCCAGCAGACCTCAGTCCGAATGCAGAGGTGGGGTGTGGGGTCAGCAGAAGACCTTCTCGCCTGGGACCCGCGTCTGCAGAGCGGGCTCCGGGCCGCGGCCCGAGGTGCGTGGCTGCAGGGGTGGTCCCCCCTGAAGTAACTGTGGTGGCGTGCGTGCAGGGGGAGGTGACTGTGTCTGTCGTGCGTGCAGGGGGAGGTGACTGTGGTGTCGTGCGTGCAGGGGGAGGTGACTGTGGTGGTGTGCGTGCAGGGGGAGGTGACTGTGGTGGTGTGCGTGCAGGGGGAGGTGACTGTGGTGTCGTGCGTGCAGGGGGAGGTGACTGTGGTGTCTGTCGTGCGTGCAGGGGGAGGTGACTGTGGTGTCATACGTGCAGGGGGAGGTGACTGGTGGCGTGTGTGCAGGGGGAGCGACCCCCTGGAGTAGAGAGGGACAAGGATGGTGGCGGGGTAGGTCGGGTCGGTCAGGGCCCAGACACGTCACGTCCCGGAGCCTGTCCCCGCCACTGGATGCGTGTCCCTGCGAGGAGACACTGCGGTCCCTCTGAGGACGGGAAGGTCGATGGGCGTGTGGCCGTGTCGCCGTCCGAGGCCCCGCAAGGCGGTGGCCCGAGGCATCTGTGTCCCTTCTGCTTGCTGACCGTGACACCCTGGCTCCCGGGTCCCCTCGTCTCCCTGCCCATCTCCGTGTCCCTGCCTGTCCTGGTCCCTCTGCCACACCCCGGTCAGACCTTTCCACCCCACCGAGGATCTGCAGGGACTCCTATCTGGGGCCCTGGCTTCCTTCGTATTGGCACGTGCGGGCACAGGCCCCACGGGGGCCGTGGAGGCTGGGTGCTGCTCTGGGTCTCCACTGTGGGTGCTCTGCCTGCACACCCCTGGGTTGTCAGCGTCTGAGGTTTGTGCCAAAAACAACCGCTGTTCTCTGAGACTCCAGGTCTTCCCAGCATTCTAGAAGGTTCTGCCCTGCTGGAGAGGGAGCAGAGGCCCGCTCCCCTCCCCTCCGTCTCCTCTGCTGCTTGGGGTGCCCCCGTGTCCCGTCTGCAGTGGCCGCGGCCCGGGGCCCGAGGCTGAGGCCAACTCTCTCCCCCGCAGGTGGACGCGCTGTGCCTGGAGGACCTGCACGCCTTCGTCGCACAGGCCTTGTGCCTCCAGGGGAAGTCGGCCGGGCAGCTCGCGGACTTGCAGGTACTGACACGCCCGACCGCCCTGGTTCTGTCCAGGGAGGGGTGGGGTCCTCCGGGCTGTGGTGGGTGGTGGGAGGGCCTCGCCCTCAGGCAGTGGAGCCCGGTCCTGCCGGGCCAGCGACGCTGTGGGGGAGCCGGTGCCGGCGGCGGCCGTGCCGAAGCTGGACTCGGGCGCGAGGGTCCGGGTGGTGGCTCATCCGCCGCGTGTCCCTGGGCCACGTGTCGAGGCCGCACAGACCCCAGCTGCCGCGTGCGCCTCGCTGGGGGTGGCGGCGTGTCTGGGGCGTGGGACGCCGGGGACTAAGGGACAGCCCAGCCCAGCGCCCCTGGGCGTCCGAGCCGGGCCGGGAGGCCAGGGCTCCCAGCTCCACTGCGTGTTCTCGTCGCGTCGTGTCATCTCCCAGACGGCCGGGCGCCTCCGGCAGGACGCGCGAGCCAGTGCCCCGTGCGGCGGCAGACTCGGGGACCCTCCGCCCGCACGTCGTGGCGCCCTGCCGTTCCTGCAGTGGGTGCTCGCTCCCTCCCGTGGGACTCGCTGAGGCCCGTGGGCAAACCCAGAAGCCCTCGGAGGAAGGGGTGCCGGCCGAGTCACGAGTCACTCAAGCGGCCACAGAAACCCGGGCTGAGTGCGCGCCCCTCGTCAGGCCCTCAGAGGGCGAGGAGCGGAGGCTCGGCCGGAACGGAGTCTGGCGGGGTCTCCCCGACCTTGTAGACGACACACGGGAGCACAGGGGCGAGCCGTCGCAGGACTGGGACACGTGCAGAGCAGACGGGGAGGAGCCCGTGTCCCCCGTCCTGATGGCTCCTCAGCTCTTCGCCCTGGGGCAGGTCGGGGGCGGAGCCTCAGGGTGGGACCCAGAAGAGGCGAGGCTGCAAGCCTTGAGCCCGGGTCCCCAGCCCCCCTAGGCTGCGTACCCGGTGAGCTTGTGGGGGTGGGCACGTGAGCTCCTCAGTGAGCAGGAGGTGGGGACACGGGGACTGGAGTGCTGCCTGCTGCCTCCCTGCCGCCAGGTGCCCACCTCACTGCATCCTCCCCTGCTTCCCACCTCCGGCCTCCATCTTGGTGGCGGGGACAGCGCCTCGGCCTGGAAACCGTTGAGGAGGAGATGCTCGCAGCAGTCAGGGGGGTGGGCAGGCGCCACGGCCACCCTCAGCTGTTCAGGGCGGACGGCTGGTCTCGGGCAGCGACTGAGCAGGGGACCCCCTGTGGGAGGTTCTCAGGAGAGGTCACAGGCTGCCCGCCTCCCGGTCCCCGCGGTCCAGAGCCGTTGGCTCTCCCCAGGCAGGTGCCGCAGGGGTGGCAGACAGGTGGGTCTGCCGGAGGGCAGGAGCACACCCCCACGCACCAAGTGGGCCCAGGGCGAGGGCAGCTGAGGCCCTCCCGCCGGGCTTGTGCACGGCATGTCCTCTGTGGATGCCCCCCGTGCTCCAGGGCACAGACACGCCACACAGACGAGTGTGCAGTCGACAGCGGACGGCGGCGGGGGGGGGGGTCGCCAAGCAGGGCCCCACCCCTGCCAGGTGTTGGCCTGTTAGGGCGGCTTCTCCATCTCGGAGCGGGTCGGTCCGGCAATGTGCAGGAATGCTGTACGTCGGAGTGGCTGTCTTAATTTCTGAAAATCATCAGCCTCTTAACCCCATAAGGTGAGCCATTTTACCCTTAAATGGTAAGTGTCTGTGTAAAATGGTGTTTTTAAAAACTGGAACAACTTGCTGTGACCCCTCCTCGCAGCGCAGCAAACTGCTGCCCTCTCGGCTCCCTTCCAAAGGGAGCCTTGGGAGCAGCAGCACCGCAGAGACCACCGGGGCTCAGCCTGGGGGGGCGGGGGCCGCCCCGTGTGCAGCACCCAGGGAGGCCCAGCGTGGGGCCACCTCTGTCCCTGTGGCGGCTGCGGAGCGTCCGCTCTGCGTGGAGGCGGCTGGTGCGGAGGCACAGGGCCCTGGTCCCCGGGGCGCGGGACCCTCCTGAGCCCCGTGCGCCTGGTCTCTCCGCAGCTCGACCACGTCGACCCCCGGGCCGTGCAGCTGGGCTCCCTGCTGGTCCGCGGCCTGACCACGCTGGTGCTGGTCAACAGCGCCTGCGGCTTCCCCTGGAGGACGAGCGAGCTCATGCCCTGGAACGTGTTCGACGGGAAGCTGTTCCACGAGAAGTACCTGCAGTCGGCGAGGGGGTGCTCCGCGGAGGCCCTGGTGGAGCAGAACGTGAGTGCCCGGCCGCCTCGCGCCCTGAACGCAGGGCGGGCTCTTGCCCCGAATGCGGAGTGGGCTGGTGGTGGCGGCTCAGGCACCGCGGAGGCTCGGGGTCCTCACCGGAAGTCAGACGGGCCAGAAGTGCCGTGTTCCTAGCGGTCGCTATGCTGCAGGAAACAGACTCGGTTCAGATGGTGCGGGAAGGACTGCGACTCCAGAAGCCTGAAGCCCAGGGTCGCGGCCCCAGGCCGCAGGGTCGCGTGTCTTCTGGCTTCGGCCGCAGCACGTCCAGGGCTCCAGACGCCGGGCTTCTGTCCGGGGGGTGGGGGCAGGGCACGCAGCAGCACCCCATCGAGTCCGACCCGTCTTTATCTTCCCAGTGCCTCCCCCCCTCCCCCGCCTCAGAATCAGCTGCAAACGCTTCCTGCTCAGGTGCCCCTAGACGTGGGACCTGTCCAGTGGGAATGGTGGTGGCTCCTTAGTGGACTGTGTCCCCCGAAGGCTGGCCGTTTGGTTGGGGCCGTGGGTGGCTGCCCGCCTTCCTCAGCACAGTGGCCCCGGGACCCCTGGGAGGCATCCAGGCGAGGCCTCGGCCACACGCCCGGGCATGTCACCCCAGACGTGAACAGCAGGCGTGCAGCCTGCTGGGGAGACGGCTCTGAGCGCCCCACGCCAGAGAGGACGGTCGGTGGCCGTGGCCACTGCCGTTTCTCAGCGTCTGACCTGGTCTGTTCGCAGCGGTCTCGGCTCGCCAGGTTCCACCAGCTGAAGTCCGTCGTGTGCAAGGCCTGCCTGGGGGAGGGCCGGCGCATCGTCAGCCAGCAGCTCTGGCGGCCGCACCACACAGGTGGGCAGTGGGGGACGCGGGGGCGGGGCCGGGGCTGGGGCGGGAGGGAGACACAGTGGACAGGCCCGGCCGCTGCCCAGCGGCCCACTTTGGTTTCGCCAGGAGGGCGCAGCCGGAGGGCCCGGGAGTGACTCGTGACCGGGAGCTGCTCGGGGGCGGAGCCCTCCCGGCCCCCAGAGCACAGGCACTGCCGGGCGACGCGTGCTCGCCCCACGTGTGGGTTCACTTTTCCTCCCAGTGTGCGTGTGCTCAGACGACGCGGATGCCGAGAAAAGAACGAAAGAGGAAACAGAAACAGCCTCTAACTCTGTGACCAGAAGGTGGTCGTGGACAGACCAGGCATCTTGCAGGGTTTTCTGTGCTCTGGCCCCATGGTTGCTGCTGCCTGTGCAGCTCTGGGTCACACTTAAGTGACAGCCCAGTCGGGGCCGCGGAACAAAGCTCCCGCATGCTGGCTCCCAGCCCCACGGGCCCCCAGAAACATCGGGGTCCCCACCGCGAGCTCCGGGTTGCTCCCTCCTTTCTCGGTGTACATGTAGCTTCTGCGTGCCTCGTGTCCTTCAGACAGAGTGCGCTGCTCACAGAATCCTGGCTCAGAACGTGACCCGGCTTGGGCTGCATGCCGCCAGCATGCTTTCTGGCACGCTCTGGTCGCGGCACGCCGCCCCGGCCGTGATGCAGAGTCCGGGACCACACCGGACGTTGGCCTTCAGCTGACGTGACGGGTCCAAGAGTCCGTCTGCACGTTCGCCCCTGCGGGTGTCAGCGGCGTGGGACTCCTGTCCGTCAGCTTTCTCGTTGATGAGCTGGTCTCAGTTACGGTTTCGCGGCCTCAGAGCTTAGGCCCACGTCTGCAGCTGTGCAGCCCCGCTTTCTTTCTTGGTGGGTGAGCTCGCCCCGCCTTCTTACCTGCCGGCTGTCCTCAGGGTTCTGCTTGGCTCTGGCCTTGCAGACAGGGCTCCGCGAGCCCCAGTGGCAGGACACCACCTGGGACGTGTCCAGGTCCTGCCAGGTGTCACACACCTGCACTCAGTACCCCCACACACCTGCATAGCTTCACCCTGCACACCTGCACACAGCAGGCCGGGCCTGGCCGTCTCCTCCTCCTCGTGGGAGGGGAGCCCCGTGGGCCTGTCGGCCGCGCCCCACAGGCAGCTCCCCGCCCGCGGCCCGGCGGGAGCTCACGAGCCACCGGGGGAGCCTCCCCGCAGGGCTCGAGCCTGGCCCACCCTGGCGGCCCCTCCTCTTTGTGGGTCACGGGGAGGCATCCAGATCCTGGGAGAGACACACGTCAGCAGGGCACAGACCCCCACGTGAGAGTCCAGCAGAGACAGGTCGTGGGAGTGCCGGGTGTGAGCGCTGAGGGCGGTTTTCAGAGGGAGAAGTGCGTGTGCGGCACACTTGTGCAGAGTCGGGTCTGGCGCTCAGCGTGCCGCCCACGGGCAGGCGTGCCCGTCAGAAAGCCTGCCCCGGGGCGCAAGCCCACCAGGACTGACCACAGGGCCCTGCCTTGCAGGGACCTCCCAGGATGCCCTGGGTCCTCAGTCCACCCCGTCGCCAGCACAGGCCCCGGGACAGGTGTCCACACGCAGGCCTCGTGCCCCGCTGCCCGGCACTGGCCCTGGGGCCCCGTGTGTGCACCACCGTGGGCTTTCCCTTCGGTGTCAGAGACACCAGGGGTCTGGAGCTGCCGACCCTCACGGCAGTCTCACACGTGTCACGTGGCGGGCCAGGCCTCGGGCGGCTCGCTGACGTGCTGACCACGTGTCCCCACAGGGAGATGGGGACGCCAGGGACCCGGCTCCCACAGGATGAGCTCCGGGCACAGCCGGTCCAGCCAAGGACAGTACTGGAGAGACCAGGGCCCAGGTAAGAGGGCGCTGCCCACAGGGCTCATCGCCACGGCAGTGTGTCTGCCCGGGACCACTCGGCCGGCGCACTGAGGTCTGGCCAGGGAAGCTGGAGCCCTGCAGCCCTGGACACAGAGCCGTCAGCGTGATTTCTTGGGGACAGTGCTGGGTTTCTAGCTCTGAGGGGGACGCGCCTCCCCCAGGTGAACCGGGTGCGAGTGTTTCTGGGAGCGAGGAGAGCCTGGCCGCGTGTGGTGGCCACGGGACCTTGGCTCGGGCTTGTCCACGCTCCTTCCCAGTGCCCCTTGCCACTCCCTCCCTCCATGTCCCCGTCCCCACGTGACCCGAGCCGGGCGGCACGCGCACATCCGGGGGCCCAGCACACGCTCCTGCACAGAACACACCAGGGACACGCTGTCCCCACATCCTTCACGTGCCCCTCACACGTCCCTCGCATGTCCCTCACATGGCCTGCGTGTCGGGGCTGAGGCACCGGCCGGGGCCGTGGGTGCAGGCGGAGGGCGTGCCGGGCCTGCCGGGGCCTGGCCCCCGCAGAGCCGCTCACAGACGTGCCGGCAGCTCACGCAGGTTTCTGACCTCGGGTGCTCCGTGTCCGGACACCAGCCTTTTGTTATGAATGGAACGTTTTTCAGGTCAAATAACCCACTTTTTCAATTGCTGCAGTTGAATTATGTCATCTTTATTGGGCCAACACATTTTTTGCTGGGTTTTGTCCACCTTTGAATGCCCATTTTAGTATTTTGGGAGATACTGGAGTGTTCTAATAAGAAGTTGTCACTGCTCTCAGGACAGAGGCAGCAGGCACGGCCCCCTCTGTTCGGGAACAACTGGAAGGGCCTCAGAGTGCTCAGCCCGCCCCTGCCCCAGGGCTGGCCGACCCGGGGCCCACCCTCCTCCCTGGGAAGCGCTGGGGCAGGACCCGAGGGGAGGGGCCCCGAGGTGTGCACATCAAAGCTCCCCAGCTTTGAGATGCCTGCAGCTGGAGCGAGGGCCCTGGGGGAGACGAGGTGGGAAATTCCGCAGGCGGCAGCCACCAGTTGGCCTGTGATTTCTGCAGGTTCTGCTTCTGGGGGGCCACACTGGGGTCAGCAGGCTGTTGTGAAACTGCCCCCGATCACCTGTGATAACAAGCCTGGGAGAGGTGGGAGCGGCAGGGACCCCGCAGCCCAGAGGGTGGGCGGCTCCCCCAGGCAGAAGCCTGACGGATTCTGTGGGGACGGCGCTACTGCTGGACGCGGAGACTGACCGCCTCGTTTCCGTGCAGGGCGGCCCTGTCCAGGGAAGGCAGGGGGCAGCCAGCTGCACTGGGCGGCCGGGAGCCCCGGGCCCAGCTGCAGAAGGGAGCCCCGTGCTGCTTTCCTGCCCTCGGCACAGTGTCCCCGTGGGCCACCTGCCCACGAGGCTCCGTGCCCACGTGTCCTCGGCAGGCGGCAGGGCTGCTGGAGTCAGGAGCGGCTCTGACGAGGCTCCTTCCACTCCCCGGACGGCCCCCGATGAGCTGCTTCCTGCTGCGTTGCAACGGTCGTGGGGCCGAGTCCGGTGCCCGGCGGCCGCAGCCACGGGGGCGGGGGGGTGTCTGCTGCGTGGGGTTTCGGCAGAGGTCACTCCAGCTGTGGTTTCTCTGTCTGTCTGGTGCAGGAAGCCGACACCACGAGTCTGACCCCTGGAGGAGACACGCACCGTCTTCCGGGTGAGTCTCCAGGGCCGGCGGCTCACCCGCAGTGGGAGTGAAACACGCCTTCGCGACACAAACTCCGTGTCCGGTGCCAAACCGGACGAGAATTCGGGTGGGGGGTCCTGCTGACACGCACCAGGTGCACTTGGCTCTGGGAAGAGTCTGCTTTCCCCAGAAGAAGGGCAGGGGGGGCGGACAAGGAGTCTGGCCTGGGGACCCCGCGTCTCCCTCCATCAGTGGCACAAGAGCCCTCTGCCGGCCCCTTGGAAGGGGCGGGTGGTGGCTCTGAGATCCGGACCGGCTTTCCGTAGAAGGAGAGGCTGCTCTCCAGTGAGCGCTCCCTCGTGCCCCATGCTGAAAGCGTCAGCTGACTTCTTTTTGGAGGTTGTGCCTGACCATGTGGCTGCAAACGGTCAGCCACCAGCATTTCGCTTCCAGCCTCACCCCGCCCACCACCCCTTGTCCCTGAGGGCAGGTGTGTTTCGGTGACTTGGAGTCTGGTTGTCCTGCCTGGCGCTGACCACGCCCGTGTGGGCTGTGCGCTGCTGCCCAGGTCAACGTCTCCGCAGACGTGAGGTCCCCGGGCTCCAGGGGTCAGCTCTCATCACCGGTTCCAGTCGAAGGTCACGTTTCCAGCCTTATCTCCGCTGGGTCCCCAAAGCATCTGCACAGAGAAAGAAGTAACCCCGTCTCCCTTCCTGGGGGGAGAGCTAGCTCCATGGGGCGCTCCATGCGGGGCTCACGGCTGGGGGCGACTCCTGGCCATGCTTCTGCGCGTCGTCCCCACTCGTGGCCCCAGCTCAGGGTTTTTACCGCCGCCTGTGTGCAGACAGCCCCGGGCATCAGACAGGAAGCCTGGGGAGCAGGGCAGGGGCCGAGCTGGGCGGAGCTGGCCTGGGGTGTGCTCACGGTGACCCTGTGACCCTTGAAAACACTTCAAACGAAGGCAGGTCAGGGTGACCCTTTACGTCCGAGGGTCTGCAGGTAACCCGGGAAGTGGAATTGTAAGCTCAGTAACTGTTGGAGTATTGATAAGGACCAGAAGCTGAAAGTCAGGCCCTTCCTCGAAGCTGTCACCCCCAAGTCTGGGGAGCGGGTGAGGACTGCCCAGTGTCCTCTGGGTTGCGTGCCCTGCCCACGGCCCCAGCTCTCAGAGGCGTCCACGCAGGGGCCCCAGCGGGCGGCCCTCCTGCGAACAAAAGGGCCCTGAGTGCCGTCTCCGTCCATCCCGAGCGTGCGCTCAGTGAGCCGCCCGACTCAGGCTCCGTGTGCGCAGCCCCGGGCGTCGTCCTGCCCCGGCCCAGCCGGCGTTCCGGGAGAAGGGCCGGTCTCCACGCCTACCCCGCGCATCTGCGTGTCCTCTGCGTGCATCTGCGTGTCCTCCATGCATTGGCGTGTCCTCTGCGCATCTGCGTGTCCTCCGCGGGCATCTGTGTGTCCCCCAAGTGCATCTGCGTGTCCCCCGAGTGCATCTGCGTGTCCTCCACGTGCGGCACCCTCGCACACATGCAGCTCCTCCTGCGGGCGTGGCCGGCTCCGCTGCTGCTCATGGCGTCTCGTGGGGCCTGCAGCCGGGTCTCCCAGCTCTGGAAATACTTTTCTCTCCATTCCTCTTAGGGTTCCTGTTTTCTCCCAGAATCCTAAAATTCTGTTCCTTTCGTTTCTGCTCATTTTAGACCACCGCCACATCTAAAAGTTTCACTTCTTTGTTGCTTATTTGCACAACCTTTAAGTAAGATTCTCCTCCCTTAGACTGCCCGGCGACCCCCATGATAACCGTCTCCCTTCAGGACATACGGCTCCAGCTGGTCAGTGGGACATGGGTGTTCAGTGGGCTCGCCTGTGCCACTGGGTGGGCACCGCTTTGTCCACGTGGGAAAGACCAGCGCGGTGCGTTGTTTGGAGTCGTGATATTTTACAAATTATCTCTGCAGTCGAGTCTTCTGATGCAAGTTCCGTGTGTCAGTGTTTAAATGAAAATAAAACAACATGTACCACTCAAAATTGAACATAACTTCGCAGTTGATGGGTTATTTAGATAACACATCACCTTCCTGTATGTCGGGATCTTTGTGAAGAAGATGGTGATGTAGAATTTCATCCCGTGTTTCCCGCACCTGCTGCAGTGCTCATGTGATCCCACTCCTCCATGCTGGTGGCGGGCGTGCACCCCTGGGTTTGCGTGTGCTGAGCTCCCCTGGCATCCAGGGCGTGAACACCAGTGACCATGGTGTGTGACCCTCTCCTGTGCGTGGGTTTGTGTGTGAGGGTCGTTTGTCGGGGGTCTTGGCCTGCACCGTTCTTTCCTTTGCACAGTCCTTGTCTGGCTTAGGTATCGGGGCGACGCTGGCCTTGTGACAGCAGGAGTTTGGAAGTGTTCCTTCTCCTTGAGTTTTCTGGGTGACTTTGAGAAGGTTCGGCATTACGTTTTTGGTGAGTGTTTGGTAGAATCCCCCATGAAATCATCGGGTCCTGGGCTTTTGTTTTCCGGTAGGTTTGTGATTGCTGGTTCAAGCTCCTTTCTCACTGACCGGTCTGTTCAGATTTTCTGTGTCTGTGTGACTTGGTCCTGGAAGGTGTTAGGTTTCTAGGGACGGTCCCGCTTCTGCCAGGCTGCCCGGTCTGCGTGCGCCTGTTCGCACTGGTCTCTCGGGATCCCTTGTGTTTCTGATATTAGTTGCGATGTCTCCTTTTCTGTCTGTGGTTTTATTTATTTGAGTCTTCTCCCTTCTTCTCTTGGTTAGTTTGTCAATTTCGACAAGCTCCCAGGCTTATCAATTTTGCATATCTTTTCAAAAAACCAACTTAGTTTTCTTGATCTTTTTTATTGTCTTTGTTGTCTGTGTTATTAATTTCTGCTCTTACCTTTATTGTTTCCTTCGTTCTGCTGTCTTTGGGCTTCGCCTATTCTGTCTCTGGTTCCTTGGGGTGCAGAGTTAGGTTGTGTGTTTGAGACCATCCCTTGCTCTGAGTGCAGCTGCTACAGACACCCCTCTTGGAACCGCACCGCAGGGGGGGGTTTGTGTGTTGTGTGTCCATTTCTGTCTGTCTGAACGTACTTTTTAATTTCCCTTTTGATTTCTTCTCTCACCCGTTAGTTGTTCAAAAGCGTGTTGTTTTATTCCCACAGATGTGTGAAATCTCCAGTTTTCCTCCTCTAGTTTTGCAGCACTGTGATCGGAAAATACGCTTGATAGGATTTCAGTCATCTTACCTCTTCAGGGCACGTCTGCTGCCCCACACACGCCCTGTCCGGGGCCACTTGGCGTGAGCTCTGGGAGAGTGCGCGTCCTGCCACCCGCAGTGGGCGTGCTCGGCCACAGCTGCAGGGCCCCCGTCGCCCGCTCGGCGACACGGCTGCAGCGCAGCCCCTTTGGAGGCGTCCACCTGATCCCCTGGGCGGCCACCACCTGCCCCTCACGGAGCCCCCGCAGCCTGCGCCGCCCCTCAGCACTCACACGCCTTTGCTTTCCGTGGTAGAAGGTGATTTTGAAGCCACAACCCCGAAGCCAGCCAAAATGGCATTCTAGTGTGAGGGGGAGGTGGCACATTTTCAGGAGTCGGGAAGCCGGGACCTGCAGACCCCTTCCGGAAGGAAGCAGGCGCGCCCCAGCAGAACGCGCCTGTCCTCGGAGCAGAACGGGGGCCTCACCAGCGGCGCCCCGCAGGGGGAGGGGAGGGGGGAGGCGCATTTCAGGGAATAAACAGGAGCTGACAGTTTCCTGCATTTGACCGAGGACGTGAGCCTGCAGATGCAGGAGGCCCCGCCGGCCCCAGCTGCGGCGGCGAGCTCAGCCCACAGGACCCACTGAACCCCGCCTCGAGGGCCGGACACCGAGACGGCGTCCCCAGGGCGGCACCAGGGAAGCGGCCCCTCAGAGGCAGGGCCCCTCGGTGGCCTTGTCGCTGCTCACGCGCCTCAGGAATCCTCGTTCCGCGACGTCTGCAGCCTGCGCCCGGGCTGCGGCCCGGGGTGGGAAGGAGGCCGGTGCGGGCAGGCGTTGCCGTCCCAGGGGGCCCCCAAGCCAGAGCTCCCGGGAGAGGCCGGAGCCCGGAGCCCGACTCACGGCCCCCCACGGCCCGGCGCCCTCCGGGGCGCGTGTCTGCCCAGGGAGGCGCTCGGAGCTCAGGCACAGCACCCCGGCCTGCGGGGCTTCCTCCCACTCCTCTCGGCTCCGCAGTGGATCGGGGTGGGGGGGGGGTCAGGCACACCCCGTCTGGCATCTGGCTCCGCCGCGTGTGGCGTGGCCTCCGCCGATGCTCCGTCTTTCCCGTCCGCCCCGCAGTCTGCTGCGTGTGGCTTCCCCGCGCCCGGAGGCTCTGTCTCTGCAGCGCGGTCGTCCGGTCCCGCCAGGAGCAGGAGCGCCTTCTCCGGGTGCAGACGACGTGAACCCCACAGGCGGTGCCTGGGCCCTGCCTCTGCGGACGGTTCCTCCAGGCTTCTCCTTCCCTGTGCGTGTCTGCTCTGGCCTGCGCTTCCCCTCCCTCCGGCGCCTGGTGCCTCGCAGCGCCCTCGCGTGTCGGGGAGTCGGGCCTCAGGAAGGCGGCCGAGCGCCTGTGCCCGGGCGGGCGTGGAGCCGGGTCCCTGGGGAGTCGTGGCCCTGGACCCCCCCGTGCTGCGCCCCGGGGGCCAGGGGCCGGGGGACCGGAGAGGGGTCAACGCGGGGCTGGTGGGGTTCAGACAGACAGGACCGCGGGAGGGGGGCCGGAGGAAAGCCCAGGATGAGCCCCGAGTTCTGACGGGCGCTGTTCCGGTTCCTGTCCCGTGGGCTGGGGTGGGAAACAGAAGGGAGAAGAGGGAGTGGAGGTGTGCCGTCACCCTTGGGTGCTTTGTGATTGAAGCACCGCCTGTGATGGGCACACACCCCACACATTCACGCACACACACCCCCACCCCCAGGGGGGACCCCATCGGGCAGGGGGCTGCGGCCGGCAGACCCTCGAGGCCTCGGCGGGCCTCGGGAGCGGGAGGCCGCCTCACAGCCCGCCGCTTGTGTTCCAGGTGGTCCAACTGACGCGCCCGCCGGGCCTCCCACGGCTGGACAGGGAGCTCCTCTGCTCTGGGACGTGGACGAGGAGTCGGCACGTCTCACCCACATGTGTCCCCGTCATCGGCACCGCACGGCCGTGACCGACGCCACGTGGTGTGCGTTCCCCTCCTTCCCACGCAGCCCCGGAGCCGGAGGACCCTCGTGAGAACACAGCTGCCGTCGCCCCAGCGTCCCTGCGGCTTCGCCCCTCGGAGGGCCCGCCTGTGGTTCGGGGGCTGTAAGTGTGGAGGCCCCGCGAGGCGGGGCCTCGGGGAGAGAGGAAGTCACCCTCCTGCACCAGGCGGGGCGTCCAGCGCACCCGGAGACACCTGCAGCCAGTGGCGGGAGTGCCCCCCGACTGCTGCCCTCGAACCCGTCCCACCTGAGCTGAAACACGGGGTCACGGCCCCTGCTTTCTCCCGGCGGCGGCCCAGGCCCCAGCCCCGGCCCCAGCCCCAGGCTCCAGCCCCAGGCGCGCTTGTCAAGCTTCCTGGTGCGGACACAGCTGTGGACGGTCGGATTCCTCGTTTCAATTGTCAGAAGTGCCACTGGGCCTGGAGGCCTGGGTCTCCCGCGGGCGCGTGGGGATGGCGGGCCTGCGGTCCCCTCTGCCTGCAGCTGCACAGCCTCCACCTCCGAGGTGCCCCCGCCCCATCCCGCACAGACTGGGGCTGGCACCCTCTGCGTGGAGGCGGTGCCCCGAGTGCCTGTTCGTGACGTGTTGCCAAATACAAACGTTCGTCTGCTGTCAGCGATGAGCTCCCGTGGCTGTTTTCCTCCCGCTTTCCGTCCGGGCCTGGCGTCCAAGCCGCAGACCTGGAAGGCACTGGGGGTCCCAGGTACCAGCTGGGGTCTGGCGGGGCTGCCCCTGCCCCTGGCCCCACCCCCGCCGTGGCACCTCTGCTGTTGCCGTGGGTGGGTGGGTTTGCTCGGGGCGGGGCCTCGAGACGGCCGCGCGTGGTGCTGCCCGTCCGCGTGCTGCTGGCGCTGCGACACGGGGGGGGCCCTCTCGCCCGGGCCTTTCTCAGTCCGGTTTCCAGCCGCGGCCCCGCTCGGGCGAAGTGGAAACGGTCTCAGTGTTGTTGCCGCGGTGCTGGTGGCTCTCGGGCACTGGCCAGAGCAGGCAGAGGCCTGTGCACAGGGCACCGCCGCGCCCGCTGCATGTCCCTGACGGGCGCCGGGCTTGTGGCCGTGTAGGGCGGGGCAGGGAGGGAAGACCCACCCAGGGCGCCGCCGCAGCCCCGTCGCGGGCTCCTCCCCGTCCCCGCTCCCCTGCCTCCCGGAGCTGGCAGAGCACCTGCTGCGGCACCTGCTCCCCGCACGCCGCCGCAGCGTTCCAGCATCCCCCCGGGGGACTGGGCTCCGGAGGGGCCCCCCTGGCCCGCGCCCCTGGACGTACGCAGCAGGGTGACCGCAGGTCCGTGTCACGGGAAAGGAAGGGGGGACACTGCTGGCCAGTGGGGGCTCTCGCGTTTCACCTGAGGCACCTGCTTCCGAGGCCCTGGCCCCCGGGTTCGGTGCCTCACACGGTCTCCGGGCCTCAGGGCCCGGGAGATGGGGCTTCGTCTCCGTCCCTGGACGGCCTTTCGCTTGAAACCCCAAGTCCCTCAGCACCTGCCCCTCAGGGAGGAAAGTGAGTCGCCAGCCGCGTTTCCTGACCACCACACAGGAGCGGCGAGACGCGAAAAGAAGAGAGCGTGTGAGAGTATGTGTGCCGTGTGTGAGCATGGCTGAACATGTGTGTGCCGTGTATGAGCATGTGTGCCGTGTGTGCTGAAATAGCTCCGACTCCCAGCTCATGTGGGGTTCCTTCCACTGTCCTGGGAGTGGCCAGGCCTGTGTCGTCCCGGCTCTGTGCCGAGTCCGCTGGCCCCAGCCCCGTGTCCTGTGGGTCCTGCCCGCTGGGACGTTGTCGGGCCATCGCGCGGCCGTCCGGTGGCAGAAACAGGACACCTAGCGCCCTGGGCGAGCTGCAGCCCCGCCGGGAGGGGCCCCTCGCCCCGCGGCCTGTGACCCTGTTTGCTGCCTGTCGTGTGCAGCGGCCTGACCCGCCACGGGCCAGCTGCTCTCCTGTCGTTTCGGCGAAAGCTGATGCTTGCCTTTCTCTCTCGGCCTGTGTCTCCCAGGTGCCCTGGCGGCTCCGTGTGAGGCAGGAGCCAGGCAAGGGCGGGGCGGGCCTGACCGCGGGATGCGAGTGGGGCGGTGACAGCGTCGCGGCTCCCCCCCCCACCCCCCCGCCCCGGGCCCGCAGGCTGGGACGTCGAGGCCGCGTGGTCTGGGTCGTGAGCCCCGCGGCCTTTCTGCCCCTTCTCCTGCAGCCGCGAGCTCAGCGACTGCCCTGGGGAGCCTGCGGCCCCAGCCCCGCCCTGTGCACTGGGCACCCACCCCTCACCCTCCCAGGTCGTCGTGGGGCCCGGGCACTGGACACGGGAGCACCCTGGGAGTGGAGGAGGGGCGGGTGCAGGCGCCCGGGAGCCCCACAGTCGTGCGGAGGAGGCAGGGGGGCGAGGGCCACTCGTCCTGTCGGCCACGGCGCACTGACGTGACGCCGGTGTTCCAGGCCATGCTGCCCCCCGGTCCCGTCCACCCTCAGCGGGTCCGGGGGCAGAGTGGACGGGGAGACGGGCGCAGGGCCCCACGGTGTGTGTGCAGAGGTGGCCGGAGGGGCTGGACGTGGGCCTGATCCTGTGGGGACAGAGCCGCATGGGGAGCAGGGAGCCTCCACGTCCGACCCACACCCCCTGGGGCCTGGCGCCCCAGCCACCACGTGAGGGGCGTGGTCTGTGTGTGGCTCCCCCGGGTGCGGCCCACAGGCCCACCGAAGGCAGCGAGGGCACCGGCGGGTGCACCTTGAACCGTCCGGCCACGGGACGGAGCTGGGCCTGAGAAGCCCTCCCAGCCACGCAGCTCCTCCGTGCCCCGCACCCAGGGGCCGGAAGCATGCAGGCCGAGAAACACCCAGGCTGGGCCGCCCTCTCGGCCGCCCCTTCCCCAGGCCCAGGGCCCTCCTCCTCCCCCTGGGTGGAGCTCGCTGCTGGGGTGCCCTGCGCCCAGGGTCCTTGCAGTCGGACCCCACAGCAGCGCCCCCCTGGGCAGCCCCCGCCCGTGCCAACCGGCCTGGCAAAACCACAGCTGGGACCTCCGGCGTCTGCCAGGTGACATCACATTCTGAAGGCCCATGGGGGCACGGTGGCAGGGCTGCCCCCTCCGACCCCCACCCCCTCCTCACAGGGCCCCCCCCAGACACCACCAGAGGGGGACAGGCCCAGAACTCAGCTCCCCACCCGGCACAGCCCCTGGCCCAGCCGTGGACATTTGCAAAGAGCCCTGAGTCCGTGAGTCCATGACACTTGGGGCTCAGCTCCAAGGGGACAGTGGGGACCCAGGTCACCAGGCCTCCTGGAGTGTCTGTGCTCCTGGACCCAGCCCTTCCAGGCCTCCCCTCTGGTGGCACTGGCCACGGAGCCTCCAGGACAACAGGGACCTGGGCAGGAGAAGGGCGGAGCCAGTGTGTGGGTCCTGTACCGGACCTGCCGACCCCTCGTGGGGACCCCTCCCCCCCACCAGCAGAGTCGAAGGAAGAGCTTTCTGCGGGAAAGAGGTTCCTGCGCCAGCTCGTCTCCGCGGCTTCCACAGAAGCCCCTGGCAGAGCGCGCAGCCCGCACCCACCCCCCATGCGTCCTGAGGCCACTCGGTGTTTCTTTGGTGACACCCGGTCTCGTTCCAGTGCCGTCATTCACGGACGTGTCCACACGGGCCTCACCCCAGGTTTTCAGCTCGGCCTGAAGCTCGGACTTCAGAACAAAAGCGCCTTCAGCCACCCCGTGGTTTCTGGGACCTCTCAGTCCCTCCCCGCCCGGTCACGGTCATCAAGCGGCTCGCGTGTGCTCGGCGCTGGCGTGACCAGGAGTGACCGTGCCCGGCCCCCCGCTGCCCAGCACGTCCGGACCTTGCCGGGGCCCGCGCCCGAGTCAGGACGCACCTCAGGGCTGGGTCTCATGGGGCGTCTTGCAGAGACCGTCCAGGGGCCAGCACGCCGGCCACGGCAGGGCGGGCATGGGGCGCAGGAGCCAGCGCCTTGCAGCCGGCTGCAGGCCCACTGCCACTGCTCGGCCCTACTGTGCGCACCACATTCGTGGGCCGTTGGTCCGGTCCACGATCACTGAGCACCTGGTCGTGCACACCGGGCAGTGCGCCCTCTCACGCCTAGGTCTGGGACGGCCTCTGCCTGCACGGTCACCGGAAACCCCCAAGTCCGGGAGAGAAGCTCCTCTTCACACAGGGGCACTGGGCTCTGAGCAGCCGCCGACCTGTGGGGACCCCCGGGAGCACCCAGGGGAGACGGTCGGCGTCTCCTGCTGTCACTGGGCTGCTGCTGGCTGACGAGCAGGAGCCTGAAACGTCCGCCTCCACCCCCTGGCGGAGCAGCCGGCGCCGGGGTGCGGGGTCCTCACGGCCCCCAGGCCGCATGGAGTCAGCAGGGTGAGCAGGAGCAGGCCGGGCCGGGCACGTGCGGCCACCCGTCAGCCCTGGGGTGGCCGAGCCCTGGCGCTCACCTGCTGGAGGGCTCTCGGGGGAGGTGGTGCGGCCTGCAGGGCAGCGGCAGCTCGGCATCTGGGGTGCGCGGCTGTGAGGGGCCAGGAGGCCACCGCCACGCCCCTCCGCTCTGCAGGGCCCTGCCTGGCCGGGAAGGCAGAGCCCGATGAAGACCAGGGGGAATGAGAAAACCATCGTCCGCACACACCGCGGACTTGTCAGATCTCCCCGTGGTCTCCGAGAACCGATCAGCCCCAAACACGGTCGACGCCAGGACACACACGGGTGGGACCGTCCAGGCCTGTGCGCTGGGTTTCCCGGGTGCACTCGTCTCCGGTGCATTCGGAGACGGTCCGTCGCCCCGGGGGGCCGCCTTGCGGACGCAGTGGGACCAAACCCAGCTGGTGAGGGCTGCGTGCGGCCCTGGCGCCCGAGGAACGGGCCGGGGCACCCGTCGTCCCCGGGGTCCCGGCAGAGGACCGGCTCCCTCGGGCCCTGTCCACTCTTCCTGCACCCCCAAGGACCCTCCCCACCCAGGCCCGGCCGACGGCGGGGACGCGCAGGGCGGGCTGCGGGCCCTGGCCTGCCACCATGCTCACAGCTCTCATCCGCTGAGGGTGCCCGGGCCTGCGCGCCGTTTCCCGGGAGACCCTGGCCGGCGGACGGGACCTCTTGGCTGTGTTCCCCGAGCACGGCTGTGGTCCGGGGAGCTGGGGCAGCGTCTGGGTCCCGGCTCAGCCAGGACCGACGAGGTGGACGTGGGAGCCGAGCAACCTGAGGGAAGGCAGGCCTCTCGGCCCCCCTCGGCTGGCCCCTGCGTCCCTCTGGTCTCTGCCCCGGCCCCCGGGGAGAGGACACGACCGAGCCCCTGCCCGGTCGGTCACTGCCGCGGTCAGACTTGCAGGGCACCTCCCGGGCTCCCATCAGGCCCTCGGGACCGGCAGCCCCAGCGGAGTGGGGCGGTTCCCAGGGGGGTGGGGTCTGCACGGTGTCAGAACGGGGTCCCGTGAGTTCGTGGGCCAGGGGGCCAGGACAACGGCCTGAGGACGGGGACTGGGGGCGGGTGTGTCCAGCCCTCCCAGCGCCCACCCAAGCAGCCCCACAGGGCACAGCCCCACGGGGCACGGCCGCACGGCCGTTTGCTGCGCTGTCCACGGGAACCCCGGGCCACTGCCAGCTGCGGCGGCACCTGCCTCCTGAGCCGGGTGTGGCGGCGG